TAACTTAACTGCTGAGCCATTCCCCCAGACCCTGGATCTTAGATTTTATACAAACAGAGAAAATTGTGAATGTGCAGGTAGCAGAGGAATAGAAGCAAAACTGTCTATGGGAACAAAGAGGGAGTAATCTAGGGGTGAAGCAGGAGAAAAGGGGTGAGGTCTGGGAGAAATATATTCAAAGTATATTATATACTTGAACTAAGATGGCCTCATGTAACCCAGTGTAATACCAGAAAAAGAACTTAAAGACAAAACAGAACAGAGGCATTCAAAGATTTCCTTAAACTGGCAAGAGTCCACAGTGTTCTCACCAGACAGCCTGGAGATTCAGGAAGAGAAAGGATGGCATTATTGCCTCAGCAAGTCTGTACCCGTGTGTTTGGTGCCTGCTGCGCGTGTTCCCTCTCTGCCAGCCAGGCAGCCTGCCCATCGGCATTACAGAGAACCCAACAACACTGCCAAGTCAGGTCCTGGTTTCAGCTAGTGTGATGTATCTCTCAGCACCACCCACAAAACCCAGAACCCTTCCAGAGACATGTCTGTGTTGGCGGGAGAAGTCCCCTGGAGCTCTCCCAACATCTGCCCGAGACACATCTGGCAGCTCTTCAGGTTGAAAACACTCCCTGGCGATTGCTTTCAGGTGCTGCAGGGTTCTCTGTCTTCAGGCTTTAGCATCACAGAAAATGTCAGTTGGGTGTCAGGTACATGGAGGCAGGGACAAGCAAAGGAGTGTCTTATTCCATCTGTGTTTGAAAAAGCCTCTGTCACGCCAAATGATAACTCCTAGTCAAAGCTGAGACCTCTGCTGTGAAGAGGCATTGTTGTGCTGGGCATCTGGATTAGTTTCTCACGGTCATGACCAAATACCTGAAAAACAGCCAACTTAAGGGAGAAGAGTTTATTTTGGGGATGGCTCATGGGACATAGTCCATCATGACAGTGAAGCAAAGGAACAGAGTCCACATGGCCTCTGTGTCAGGAGGCACACACAAAGAGATGAACACTGATGTTCAGCTTTCTTTCTTTTTTTTCTCTTTCTTTCTTTCTTTCTTTCTTTCTTTCTTTCTTTCTTTCTTTCTTTCCCTCCCTCTTTCTTCTTTCTTTCTTTCTTTCTTTCTTTCTTTCTTTCTTTCTTTCTTTCTTTCTTTCTTTCTTTCCTTCTTTCTTGGCTTTGACTCCCGTGTGAATGCAGATGTTGAGCAGACATGGTAGCTGGCTCTTTTCAGCCAGTGACAGAGGGTGAGACACCAGCTCTGATTTTTGTTGGTGGTGTTGTTCACTTCTGGAAAACAACATAAAAAATTAATGTTAACAGGTCCTTTCAATATCTTCAAGAATCTATTAAAATGTACTACTATAATCCAGGCATGGGAACATACTTCTGTACACCTGGCATTGAGGAAGTTAAGGTCGAAAGAGTGAGAGTTTAAGGCCAACCTTTTGAAAAAGCCAAAGGCTAGGGATACTAGCTCAGTGGCATGGCATATATCTTTAACATGTGCGAGGACCTAGATTCGATCCCTACAATGTGGGCTTAGCACTGAATTTTGTAAGCCTCAAGCTTCTTCAAGGGAGAGAAAACTTTTAAGTGTGTATTGCTGGAGAAGGTTGTAGCAATTTCTGAGTAGAACTTGGGTAGTGGGTCCTTGAACAACTAAGAGCTGGGAGTGGAAAAAAAAAGAAGCAGATGTAACAGTGGGGAAAGAGGTGGAAACAGGGCTCTCCACCCATGGAGTCATGCTGGCTGGTGGTCATCCAGGCCCCGTGAGACTCCTGTCTTGAACTACAAGTAACTGTATGGCCATGTCAGAGTTTCCAAGCGGGTGCTGAGTATTTGAACTTAGGTCCTCAAGCTCACACAGAAAGAGTTTTTAACCAACCGCTGAAGTATCTCCACAGCCCCAACTGTAGATTTTATTTATTTTTATTGGTGTATATTTATTGTGCATGGTGATGGGTTTCAAAAAGACACTTTATTTCAAGTGCATCATATAGTTTGATCATTTACCCTCTCATACCTTCTTCATCTCCTTTGCCCTTTCTCCTTCTGTTGGTGTCTTTTCTTCCCATTCTCTTTCTTTTGTAGAATTAGAGGACAGATATTTGTTGGGACACCTTAGCTCTTATTCAAATATGTCTCAATTGAGGGGCAGTTCAATCCCTTCATTCTTATGCATGAAGCCAACATGTCAACAGTTTTGGAAATTTTTTCCAGATCTTATTTTTATTGTACTTACAAATATCCACAGAGGTCCAGGTGTGACATAAAACAATAGAATGCTACAAATTACAGATGTAGATGCCTTCTTTAAAAAAAATGATGATGTTACCTTCTGGCATACCTATCATGAGCTGAAAATCTCATTCATATGCAAGTGAATTTAATATGCCTAATATTGACCATCAAGGCTCACTCTATCACAAACATGCTTAGATTACTTTCATTAGCCTATAGCCTATAAAATCATCTAACTCAGCATCTATTTTATAAAGTGTTGACTCTCTCCCTTTCTCTCTCTCTCTCTCTCTCTCTCTCTCTCTCTCTCTCTCACACACACACACACACATATACAGAGAGGAGGGTATTTCATTGACCAGTGGTATGTAAAACACAAAATACAATATTTCTAAATACTGGCAATGTATCATACTCAGACAGGTGTGTCCAGCCTTTTACATTTTGATGGTCACCTTCAAAATTCATGCTCACAAATTATTCAATTGTGTTACAAAACGTCACAACGATATTTCATAATGGTTCACCTAAGCTTACACTCTTATGTTGGGCTACATTCATAGCCACCCTCAGCTATCGGATGGACATACCTGCTGGAATGTTGATTATATACGCTCATGGCTAATCAGAAGCATCAGATCGATGTGGCTGTCCTGTATTATGAGATAATACAGCAATTAATATTGCTGGTCTGTGGGAAAATAAACCAAACCCCCAAATTCAAAGTCTGCACTCTCTTAAATGTGTATTGCTTTAGTCCACTATAAAGTCAATGGGTTGTACGTGGGCCATGGTTCGCTGAGGCCCTCTAACAGACGGTGTAGGATGTCTACCAAGGGTGTAGATAGCTAGTGGGCCAACTGGGCCAGCCCTCCCCTCCCTTAGCACCCTACTTCACCCATCTACTACATGTGTCTCCGGTCTTATTCCAGTGCTAACTGTGAGGTGCACAATGCTAAATGTGGCAATACAGGATTGTCTTCAAAGAACTTCTGATCACACCAAGAAATTAATTAAAAAGTAAACCACGAATTGGTCAGTACCGGGTTCTGGGAAGAGGGAGAAACCTCAATTTAAAGAAAGCAAAATACACTTTTTTATGATACTGCTGTGAACCTCAGCTAGTGAACATTTGGTAAAAGGTAAGAGGGGTGGGTTTGAGTATGAGCCTGTCTAGCATTGCAGGATAAAAGAAACGCGAGAGAGGAAGAAGAAAGAGCACCTGGTCTGTTTAAGCCCTCAAATGATGGCAACTGTTACCATCCCCTTCCCAATAACCTGATGTTTCCATTGCAATGTGAACTCTCAATTCCTAAGTAGTTATTTGTCCCTTGGGGGAAAGAGTGAAACTGATTGCAGAGGATCTGAGGTTTTGTTCCTTAGTGAGAATACCGACTGTAAACAAGCTGTTGGCTGCCAGGTTTCTATGTGGTTTCGTGTGGAAACCTTGCTGGAGTGCCTGCTTTCTTCCTGCTGGCTGTGCGCTTTTTAAATCACTAAGCTAATTAAATGATTAACGTTAACGACAAAGATCTTCCTTTTATTTATTTCACAGTAGAAGCAAGTTTGTTTGTTTGAGCCTCTCTTAATTTCTCTGCTGAACAAACACCATTGCTCTGAGAGGAAGCGGGGTGTTTTAAGAGGTAGCAGCTCAAATCAGAATACCTACAGTTGCCTCTTTTTGGTAAAACGTACAAACAAACAAACAAAAAAGCATAGCTACAATCTGTTGTGTTGATGCGCTTCTGTGATCTGACAGCCCCCTCATTACACTGTCAACACTCTTCATGTTTCTATAGATCTCATGATTACTATTGGCTGTCCAATGTTCCCAATGATGCTGGGGCTGGGAGCAGCCACTTCCCCACTTTTGACCAGAGAACTCCATATTTCACTTTATCTATACAGATGGAATTCCCAGAGACACAGAATATGACTTTGAGGCAATTACCTTTTGCAAGATGGACTAAACACCTCTCCCCACCCCCCCCAGCTGCATAGGTACAGGGCAAAAAGACTGCCCCCAGGTTCATAGGCAGTGATCCCTTCCTGTGGCAAGTCAGAAATACAACCAACAATTTATAATCAAGATACATGGCATTCATTTCCCTGCTAACATCAACACAGGTTCAATTCTACCACTCTCTTTTCTGTCCCCCAACACCAGAATGACATGAAAAGGGATAATACGGATTGTGTGCCTTAGAGCAGAACTGGTGGCACATACCAAAAGTAATGGTGGGGCCCTATCAACTTTAGGCCTGTGCTGATTCCCCCATCTCTTGGCAACAGGGATTAAACAAGTCCATAAAGCAAAAGAAAGCAGGGAAGGAAGAGGCGCGCGGGGACGGGAGTGGGGTGGAGGGGGAAGGGGGTGAGGGGAGGTCAATACAAGGGGGCAGTTTTGATGGTCCCGACAGCTGTAGGAAGAGGACCCACAAAAACTAGACAGAAGTTTGCCCATTGCACACAGGAGAGGAGGACAAGACGGGGTTCCGGCGGGGCAAAGTTTGCCTAGGCTGTGCACACAGCTGGGGCAGGTCTGGAGTCCGTTAGGTCTAAGACCTTGGAGACCCAGTAGCTACTCAAGAGCTGGAGGAGGGAGCTGGAGGTGGGACCAAGACCAGTGGATTGTAGGCGGAACCAAGGGACAGGGAGGCGTGGCCTGGGGTAGCGGTGGTGCAAGAGACAGGACTCAGACAGGCCTGGAGGGCATGATGAAGGCGGGGCTTTGGTGGAGGCGGGGCTGGATGGAGCGCATCTCTGCACCCGCGGCTCCACCAGCTCCCTAAAAATCCCTCCCTGTCCCAAAGCGGTCGCGCGCTCCGGCCTCGCCATGCTCCTGCTTCTGGGACTGTGCCTGGGGTTGCCGCTCTTCTCGGAGTCCCAGGAAGACGCACGGAAGTGGAATGACATCTCGGAGCAAGTAAGTGGGAGAGCTGTGGGAGCCTGAGGCTCTGTCCCTTCTCTCCATCTCCCTGGGCTGTGTGGCTTCTGGACAGGCTGGAATTGACCCATGGGATGCAAGAAAAGGCAGCTGCGGCGGCGACGAGGAGTGGGGTGGGGGTGTCGCCTTCCTCACGGTCTGCACCGTCTCTTCTCCCAGTCTTTGGCATGGGAGCTTTCCCATCTGTTAGTCACTTGTGACACTTGTGAGTGGTCTTCCTTGGCTCCCCCTGTCTACCAGATTCTCATGGAGACGGACTCTCGCCGAGTCTCCTTGCAAGTTTCCATCTTAGACGTGTGGGGTGTTTATCTGTTAGCGTCCAGGGAGAAAACTGCTGATTAAAAGTCCTAATCTCCTGGAGATCTCAACGGTCTCCGCTTAAACATGGGAAAACTCAACTTCCCCTCCGGTTCTTACCAGTTGCGAGTGGTTGACATAAGGTCCCACGATTAAGCCAGTATCAAGAATGAAAACAGCTACGGTGCACGTGTCAGCGTTTGCATTTTAACCGGCTCAACCTCACAGGTGGCCACGGCCCTGCAAATGAAGTTTCTGTCCAGTGTCTGACCACTGGGAAAGTTCTAGGAAAACTTATCAGATTCGCCCTAACCTCCCTATGAGGATCCTGGCGGAGAAGCAACTGTCTCCTGTGAGGTGAACCTGATGTTGACACGTATCATTTAAAAGGTGAACTGCTTGGTTCAAATCCTGTTTTCACGAGGTGAGGCAGATATCAGCAGGCTCCCTTCCTATCTGGAAGACAGAATCCACACAGGGGTCCACTCTAAGGAAGTGCTTATCTGTAAAGTGGGAGATGTTGGGCTCCCCTTTTACAGACTGTCAAGAGTACCCGGGAAACTCCCAAGAGCTTTTGCGGTGGTGTGTGAAAAACTTAGGCTTTGGGTTCAGAGAAAGGCTGGTCCCACCCTGTACACTCTGCCCCTTAACAGCAGTGTGTACTGGGCAAACTCCAGTTTTGAGTGCAATGCTTTTCTCTCCAAGGTATGCTGTTCTACCGAGCTAGGGCTAGCATGGAGCTTGATTAATATTAATGACCAGTCGCTTTGAACTCTCAGTCTTCCACACTGAATCTTTCAAATGCTGGGATTACAAGTGTGCAGCACATCCGGTTTGCAATTCCTTTTGAGAGTACTAGTGAGGATTTGGCTAGCTTGTGTTAAGGACCCAGAATCCAGGAGGCACCCAATAAATGGGAGATAGTTTAGTGGTTAGTGCTTGGCTGACTATATTGGACTCTGAAGCTGCCAGCAGCATTGGCACTCAATATGGTTCAGCTGGTAGGCTTGTAAGGCCGAGTTGCTGAGGGAAGGAATTCAGGGTAAAGATCTTGAAGTGTTGAGAGGGTGTAAGGGGAAGGGAATGTGGGAAGAACGGAAACAAAGAACCTTTCTGGGGACCAGAGATGGAGTCAAGCCATGCTGCCTCCACAACTACAAATGAGCTTAACCCTTTCCAAAGTTTCCTTCATAGAAAAACCCAGATTTAGCTCTTTTTGTGTGTGTGTGTGTGTGAATTCCATGGCAATATTTATATTGAATATGACTAAATCATATAAAAAAGAAAAAAATCCACACAAAAAAATAAACCTTGAGGTATAAACTGCTTTGGAAATTTGCATTCCAACATTCTATTTGTACTGTGTTTTAAGTTTAGCTTATGGTGTGTGTGTGTGTGTGTGTGTATGTGTGTGTGTGTGCATTTGTGTGTTAGTGAGTGAGAGAGAGGGGGGCTGAATGTAAGAGGTAGGCAAGGGCTGGGGATGTGGCCCCGTGGTAGCCTTTGCTTGCCTGGGATGAAAGAGGCCTCTGTGTTCTATCCCAAGAACTGATGAGAAAAAGGCCCTGAAGAACTGATGTACTTAGCACAAAATCTGAGGACGCAGCTGTTGCTCTAGACTCAATAATTACAACCTTTGAGCTATGTGTAAACTTAGTTTGTAAAATGTAAAGTGGGATCTGGGGAGACAATTGGGTCAGGAAAAAGCTTAATTATGAGCATGAGGATCTGAGCTCAGTTCCTGAGCCCACACAACAAAGAAACCAATGAAACAAAGTAAGATGAGGCATGGTGGCCAACTTGTAATCCTCCCACAGGGAGGTGGAGACAGGTAGATTCCTGGGCCTTGTGGCCAGACAGCCTAACTTGCTTAGCTTAGTTTCAGGCCAATGACCCTATCTCTGAAACCCTATGGGAAGGGATGGGGCAGGCGACAGGAGGACCATAGTTTAAATATTATTACCTTAGAAAAGACTGCCAGGGGTCAGGGATAAAAGTGCTTGCCACCAAGCCTGATGACCTGACTTCAATCCCCAGGGCCCATATGGGAGAAGGAGAGAACTGACTTCCACAATTTGCCCTCTGACCTCTACAAGTGTGTTGTGGCATCCCTCTCCCACAAAGTAAATAAATAATTGTAGTAGAAAATGTAAAAGAGGAACATGCCAAGAGGAACATGCCAGGGAATTAGGACTGGAAAGGAAGCTACATGAAATCCATCTGGTGATTTATCCACTTTATGTTTTAAATTTATTTGGTTTTTGAAAATAAGAATAAAGTTATTTACAAAGTTTAAAAAAAAAGACAATATCAGTTACATAGTCTACAGAAGGTCTCCAAATACTTTATTTAAAGCAAAAAAAGGGCAATGAAGTATTATAGTTAAAAATATTCCAAACGGAGCAGGCTGTGTGGGATTCAAACAGGGGCCCGCTACCTCCTGGCTGTGTGTTCTTAGGCAAGCAACTTAACCTCTCTGTATCTCACTTTCATCATGTCAGCACAGGGTTGTTAATAGTTCCTAGCTCACAGACAAAAATGGATCTGTGTTTGGGGAGAGAAGCTAACACTGAAGAAATCCTTTAAGAGAAAGAATATGAATTATGACTAAGAATGAGATGCCTGGGTAGCCTTTCAGTTGGTAAATGTGTAGTAAATTGCACATTTTTGTCAATGGGACGGTCATCCCAAAAGTCCATCTTTAGCGCTTGTTACACACCTCCATTAGCATCTAAATAACGATATGAAACAGTGTTTACCTCATAGTCCAGAGGCTGCATTTGATTCCTAGCACCACATAATAACAACTAGAACATCAACAACAAACATATTTATTTATTTTCACATCTATTTGTGCTTCTCTGTGCGTATAGTTCAGAAGTCAGTTTGCAGATGGAAGTTTTCTCCCAGGGATCAAACTCTGCTGAGCCATTTTATCAGCCTAGTAATGGGTATTTTAAACAATAATATATGTTATAAAATATATTATATATTTTAAATATAATATATTATAATAGTATAATACTATGTATTTTATAATATATAATTATTGTTGCTGTGGGTTTTGTGAGTACTGAGCCAGTTCAGGCAAGGCATTTGCATAGGGTAAGCGGTAAGATATTAGGTATGTGTGCGTGGGTCCTTGGGTACATGGGTACATGTGTGTGTGTGCTTGTGTGCTTGTGTGTGTGTGTGTGTGTGTAGCTAAATACAGATGCTACATAGGACAACCATCCAGCAGGAAAGGTCATGCAGGGGGAGCCTTGCGCTCAAGCTTATACATGCAGACTGCAGAGCTCAGGAGTGCTGAGGCCCTAAGCTGGAGCTCGAGGGAGTCTTTCACATAGCAGCCACTTCCAGACAGATCATTTGGTCTAACGCTCCCGACACTGCAGCTGCCCAGCACATGCTGGTCCTAAACGTCCATTCTGGTGATCCATTGTCAGACTTCCCATATGGTTTCACCCATCAGCTTGTCTGTGCGCTTGAATCAAGGCGCCTACTTCTTTTAACTCTCTAGTAAGTGAAGCCAGTAGAAGATCTGCAGGCTGTGGGCCTCTCCATTACGCCTCCTTCCGTACGGGGATGGGTTGGCTGAGATGCAGCTGTAGAACAGAGTGGGAAAAGAGATGTGGGAGACATTCCAGAGATGTGCTCACTCCCAAGCCAGCCATATCTCATGTCTTGAGGGCAGAAAGGAAGGGTGGTGGAGGGGCGGCCTAAGACTGGGCAATGAAACGTATGTGACTCTGTGCTCCTAGGGTGCCATTCCCTCAAAACTGTGGGAGCGCGCACGTAAAGGACTCTTGTTTCATGTGCAGTCTGAATCCAATCAGCAACACCTGCAAAAGGTCTGCATCCAAGGCTCCATCAAAGAAAGAGGCAGAGGGTCCCCTGAGAGTTTCAGGGAGCTCTTTTTTTTTATCTTCTCTTCTCTTTCGTGTATGTGTGTGTGTGTGTGTGTGTGTGTGTGTGTGTGTGTAGCGGTGTGTGTGGGTGCACATGAAGTTGTGTGCACATGTATGTGGAGGCCAAAGGACATCTTTGGGTGTTGTTCTTCACGTGCTATGTCTATCTTTTTTAAAAATAAGATTTAATTAGTTTCAATATGTGTGTGTACCAGGTACCCACGGAAACCAGAAGAGTGCATCTGAGGCCCTGGAACTGGAGTTACACTGATTTTTTTCTTCTTCCTCCCTGTCTCTCCCCCTCTCCCTCCCTCTCCTCTTTTTCAGTTTCTTCCCACTCCCCAACCTTTCAGATTCAGACTCAGATTCACAGCAGTCAACTGCAACCTTGAGTGACCTTCCTATATCCTGCTTCAACTCTGTTCGATATTCTATGGCAGATCTCTAAGGCAGTGGTCATTCTGTTGTTAGATTTTACTGTCAGAGTTCTGAAGGCCCTCAGAAGAATGGGGCTGGCTGGTGGACCTCTTTCTCCTCCTTGCCCCACTACGAAGGGTGACTTCAGTGTGCTCAAGATGCCTGCTAAGGTTGGCCTTAATGAAGCATCTCTCACTTGTGTTGTGGGCCCTAGATTCAGGGCCCTCAGGACACAGCTCAAAAGGGAGAGTAGATGATATGGACCCATCTTTACACTCTGTACTAGCCAATCTAGATTACTCAAGCATCCAGAGTAGGAAACAGTGAGGGTGTTTCTCCTCTCCTGTCTCACACTCT